CTGATGATAATAGACAAGAAAGCCCAAGGGAATTTGTAGGTAACATTGAATTCTATAGGTAGATAGTGGATTCATAAATGCTAGTGTAGTTTCCTTACGGGTCGAATCACCTATCATTTAATTATTTGCTTATCGTTAACATTTTCTGCAATTTTGGTCATGGCTTACAATTGACAACTTTTGTAAAACAATTACGGGTTTTAATTTCTGCACGTTTCTGGCGCGGTCGCAGGTGTAACGAACTTCTCTAATTCTAAATTTAAATTGCTCAAAGGTAATTTCGATTGTATTCAGAGTCTGAATACATAATGCCCTCAATACAAAATTTTGCTGTATCTGTATGGATATTAAAATGAAACAGATGTTGCAAGATCATTTCTGCAACATACATTAAAATGTAATGTGAAGCTCGTGTAGTGACTTAACTTACATAACATGAACCGATTATAAAATTCTTATTTAGCCCATGCACTCCTGACTCCATCAGCCACTTCTTTTTCATAAACGAATTTAATAAAATTCTTGGCAGTGGTTGTCCACTTTCTAACAACGGGTCAAATTGAAAATGGCATAAATCTCAATTATGCACTGGGCACTGCACTCGATTCTTAAAACGAGGTTAAACTTTTAAGTGCCCACTCGAAACATTTCAATTTGCAGGTTTGGAAATTGGAATGCCTACGATTCGACATGGGATTGAGATTATAAACATTACAAAAGGGAGAATTGCTTTTATTACTACTGATATTTATTTAGTTGTTTCTGAACTTTATTTGACAGCTTGTGGTAGAGCATGAATTGTCAAATCGCATTATATGCTTTTTAACTAAACGTATATTAATGTCCGTGGTCATTTAAAGTGCTGCCGACCAGCATCCGATAAAGGGTCCAAATGTCAGCTGGTAATATAAATTGTTGGGGTTTAGTTCAGCCGTAATGTTTTTGGGAAGGTCACTGCTGGATCGATTAAATTAATTTAAACCATATACAATCTGCTATAATTAGTGAATAGCTTGCTTTCTCCTGTATTTTATCGCAAAAGTGTATTCATCTACGTGAAGTCGGTTGATATTGTACCTGTAAACATAAAGCACTGAATAAGCTCGGGACAATAATTTGAAACGAACTTCATCATCGATCAACTAAAGACATGGCGCAAATATTAGTCTATTTGTGCCAATATTGCTAATTAAGGGATGAAATTAAACTTTACAAGTTTTCATAAGCGTATTGTGCTCCCTGTAATCATTATTCATTAGAAAGAGTTTCTGGTAAATTTTCTGGTCCACTCTAAGAGGTGGATTAAGTTAGTACCCCTGAATCGGCACTCCAATTTGATACCTCTCCAAAATATTGTGCCAATTTTGTGCCGATTTGTACGCCAATCCACAACTTTTGTGCGCCTTTCGTTTCGGAGAAAATCAAAATTCGTTCCAACCTAATGCTAGTATACCATCATCCTCGTACCGACATGGCACTAATACCATTGTATTTATAAACGAAATGCTAATACTATAGTTTTGCGCTGATTTGTGCGCTTATACTAAGGTTTTGTGCGCCTTTCGCTTTGGAGAAATTTAAACTTTTTAAATGGGGTGCCAACTTAACTCAGCGCCCCTTACAATCGGAACGATTTGAAACCTATGTCATAATTTTGTGTCTATTTTATGCAACCATAATACATAACTTCTTGAAACAAATAAAGATCTCGCTGTCATATTAATTATTCATTTGATTATTGTTGCTTTGGATTCACAAAAATAAATCTCTTTAACTCCTTAACTTCTTTAACTGTTACCGGCACTATACCAATTGGAAATATCAAGTTTTTCTTTAGTTGAATACATCGCACACGAACCGAAATTAGAATAGGGAAGTCAAAGCGATAATATTCAAATTAATTAATATGACAGGCAGATCTTCATTTGTTGTAGGTAGTTATTTTGGTTGCATAAAGTTAGGTCCTTCAGAAGCCTCTTTATCATTTAAAAATAGACATAGAAAATGCCTATAGGAAATCCCTATGTCTACTTCTTAACATAAATATCACTGTATATTCCAATTTCCAATTCTTGATCATTTAATAACTGAAACTTATCAAATTTAAAATTAAATATATTAATACCTGCTCTTCAGGCCGTCGCAGACGATATCATTTTAATTGATCATTTAACTTTAATAATAAATGACCACGGATAACCCGTCGTTAGCACAACTTCTGGGTGAAGTGTAGCTATACACTGTGTTCCAGATAAGGATGTATATAATGGGGATTTTGGAAACAATATAATGTATGAAAATGGTCAAATTGGAGACAAGAAATTTGCCGATTTCGTTTTTATTTTTTTCTGATGCTATTTGAACAGATTGCCACTTATTGATTTTTAGAAGACACCGTTGAGACGTTTCATTTTGGAGAAATCATTACCAACTTTATATTTTTATATGGCCGGTAAAAAAGTAGATACTATATTGAGTAGCATTTTTTACGAACAAAACGATGTACGGGACACAAAAAAACAAAAGTTGGAAACTATTGGTTTTAACAAGATGGTGTATGCGCGCACAATGCCATAATCGTGCAAGAATACCTATTGAATAAACTTCGAGGAAAGTGGAAAAAATCGCTTTGCACATACAAAAAGAAAGCTCGACTTTGTCATTTAGACATTTTCTGTCTTGTTCTTTTCTTAGTTTCTTAAGAATTAGTTATTTGTTTCATATGTGTATTGTGCCAAAAAAGTTCTATTTTTATACGTGTGATAAATGTTTTTTTATAAATATATTCAATTGTATGCGCCCGTCCCTAGACCAAATGCTAAATCCACCACTGTTTGCATAAGACCCTGCGTAGGCAATGTTAACATAAAGGCTAGTTTACACGCTACTATAAATCGGACAAGATGTGAAGGTACTTACCTCCCGAAAGATTTCTTATGGAATTGTTGATAATAGCAGATACGCAATTTTGGTATTTATTTCCATGGGCC